ACCATCATCATCATCATCATCATCATCATCATCATCATCATCATCAGCATCATCATCATCGTCATCGTCATCGTCATTGCCATAATCGATGGAGGTGCCCGCATGCGTCCGCCACAACCCGTAAGGCGCTCCGTGGCCCCATAGGGACCTCCACCTGCGTGCGGCCCCAGTGGGAGTGGCCACATGCGTCCGCCACACCCAGTACAGCGCGTCGTGGCCCCATAGGGAGCTCCACGCAAGGCCCCAGTGGGAGTGGCCACATGCGCCCGCCACACCCAGTGCAGCGCTCCGTGGCCGTATAGGGAGCTCCACCTAAGGCCCAAGTGGGGGGGCCACATGCGCCCGTCACACCAAATACAGCGCGACGTGGTCCCACAGGGAACTCCACGCAAGGCCCCAGTGGGAGTGGCCACATGCGACCGCCACACCCATGTCGGCACACCCCTCACACGTTTCGTGGCCTTATAGGGAGCTCCACCTAACGGTCCTGTGGGGGTGACCACATGCGTCCGCCACTCGCGGTATAACGTTTCGTGGCCCCATAGGGATTCCCACCGAAAGCCCAGTGGGGGTGACCACATGCGTCCGCCACACCCAGTACAGCGCTTCGTGGCCCCACAGGAAGCTCCACCCGAGGCCCCAGGTGGGGGTGGCCACATGCGTCCCCCACACCCAGCACAGCGTTTCGTGGCCTAATAAGAAGCCCCACCTAAGGCCCCAATGGGGGTGGCCGAATGCGTCCGCCACACTTTTTACAGCGGTTCGTGGCCCAATACGGAGCTCCACCTGCGGCCCCAGTGGGATTGCCCGCAAGCGTCCGCCACACCTAGTACGCCTCTCACACGCTTCGTGGCCCCATGGGGGACTCCACCGAAGGCCCCTGTGGGTTCTCTTGGTGGCGTCGCTTCCATTGGATGATGATGATGATGATGATGATGATGATGATGATGATGATGATGATGATGATAATGATGATAATGATGATGATGATGATGATGATGATGATGATGATAATGATGGTGATGGTGATGATGATGATGCGGATGATGATGATGATGATGATGGTGAGGATGACGGCTAACTATGATGATGATCGTGATGGTGCTGCTGGTGACGATGACGATGTTCCGTGGCCCCACAGGGAGCTCCACAGAAGGTCCCAGTGGCGCAAAGCGCAGTTCGCATGCGTCCACGCCAACCATGTCGGCACACCCCTCAAGCGTCTCAGCGCTAGGGGCGACCCGCGCGCGTCGCTGGGACCCCTCCAGGGCGACTGGCGCGCGTCGCGGGGACTCTGTGTTGCGTTGCACTTGCAGCGCTGGACATTGGAGTGCAAGGGTAAGAGGGGAGAAAGAATAAACAAAAAACGGGCGCGATCCTCGTGAGGGGCGTGCCGACATGGGCGTCGCGGCGCGCAGGCGTTGCCATCGAGGTTTCTGGGGGGGGCCCTGCGGCGGCCACGCTCAGTGTCACGAGTACTCAGAATCAGGCAAAACAAAACCATTCACAGTCAGATGCATGTATACTAGGCGCATCCATGCTCGTATTCATGCACATAAGACTTACTCGCGCGCAGACTCAACCACAATCAGACGCGCTCGCACGCAGTCTCGCTCGCGCAAATTCCCCCGTGTTCAAACCTATCGTTTTCGTTCGTGTTGTGTACCCCGCCACACATGTCGGCACGCCCCTCGCACGGTTCGTGGCCCCATAGGGATCGCCACCGAAGAAGATATTCACAATTGCGGTAGTCACAACGTCATATGGTTGGGTCCTTCGCCAGGATATTTTTCTTCACCGCCCCCATGTTGGTCACCCCCCTTGATACCACACGCCCGACCGTGTGTTTCATGGCCATTTCCGGGCAGCCAATCGGAGCAGGGTGAATGGAGAACGGCAAGCCAAAATCGGTCCCCGACCCCACCCCCCACGGCCCAAACAAACGCGGCAGTTTCCCGAGCTGCGTCCAGCTGTGGCGACGAGGGCCCTCCATCGAAGGCTGACTACCTTGGTCTCACCTCGCCCTCTTTGGGCGTTGCTCAATGGGGGGGCGAGGGGGCGTGTGTTCGCGCCCCCTTTTGGGCCCCAGAAGGTCCTTTTTCGGGCGCATCACGTGCGCATCCCCTTCCTTCACGCACCCACTGGCCATCGTTCGGACGCCCATTCCCCGCGCACTCTTCAATTTTCGCCCGCTTTTGTGGGCTGATGTTCCAGGATGCCCCTCGACGGCCCTCGCCGAGGAAAATCGCGCGCGTCCGAGCCACGCCAGGCCCATCGATCGCCCACCCATTGCGCAACGCCCGGCCTCCTCTGACGGGGGGGAGGGGGAAGAGGAGGAGGAGCAGGAAGAGGAGGAGGAGGAGGAGGAGGAGGAAGAGGAGGGGACGGAGGGCGAGGACGGGGGGAGGGGAGGGACAAGGAGGAAGAGGAGGAGGAGGAGGAGGAGCAAGAGGAGGAGGAGGAGGAGGAGAAGCTGGAGGAGAGGAGGAGAAGGATGAGGACGGGGGGGAGGAGGGGAGGAAGAGGAGAAGGAGGAGGAGGAGGAGGCGGAGGAGGAGAGGAGGAGAAGGGGGAGGAGGAGGAGGAAGAGGAGGAGGAGGAAGAAGAGGAGGGAGATGAGGAGGAGGAGGAGGAGGAGGAGGAGGACGAGGACGAGGACGAGGAGGAGGAGGAGAAGGAGGAGGAGGGTGCTGAGGGCGCTGACGATGCCAGGTCTTTTCCGCAGACCTGCTCGCCCCGCCCCAGGGAGGGCCGCAGCTCCCCCGAGGGATCCTGCGCGACGGACGGACGGTCCCAGAAGGGGCCGAAAAACAAAGGAGGCGGATCCAGCGATGGCGACAGGCAACCCCGGCCACCTACAGGACCCTTCGACTCATCAACCTTGCAGGCCTCGAACGCCATCCCGTGGCCTTCCGGTGCTGCCGGGCCCAGGCGGCGTGCGCCGCCCAGGCACCGGCCCCGTGCGGCGCGCGCCGCACGTCTGGGCTACCAGAGCACGATGAAGTTGAGCTCCAGCTTCGCCACCCAAATCTTCCTGAGAAGCGCCAGAGCCCGTTCGTCGGAACCGAAGCCCTTGTCATCGAAGAAATTCTTCTCCCCGACCTTGCACGCGAATTCCGACTGGCCCTCCACCATGACGAATTCACCCCCCTTCTTCAAGAGGGTCTTGATCATCACAACTCGTGAGGTCGGACTTAACGATATTTTTGGTCATCGCAACAGCCCGGATGACAGGGAGCCACCATCTGGCCCGCCTTGCCGTACCCCGGCGACATGGCCCGCGGCGGCTGTGCGGTTCCGAAGCGCGCCGCCCGTCTGTCCCTGCTCCTGGGGACGGAGCCGCTTGAGCCAAAATAGCTACGGGGGAAGAGGAGTAGGAGCAGGAGCAGGAGGAGGAGGAGGAGGAGGAGGAGGAAGAGGAGGAGGAGGAGGGGGAGGAGGAGGAGGAGGAGGAGGGAGGAGGAGGAAGAGGAGGAGGAGGAGGAGGAGGAGAGAGGGAGGAGGAGGAGGAGGAGGAAGAGGAGGAGGAGGAGGAGGAGGAGGAGAGGAGGAGGCGGAGTAGAGAAAAGGAGAGTGGGGAGAGGAGGAGAAGGAGGAGGAGGAAAAAGGAGGAGGAGAAGGGGAGGAAAAGGAGGAGGAAAAAGGAGGAGGAGGAGGAGTGGAGGAGAAGAGAGAGGGTGCAGGAGGGGGGAGGAGAAGGAGGAGGAGGAGGAGGAAGAAGAAAAGGAGGAGAAGGATGCGGAGGAGGAGAAAGAGGGGGGGGGAGACGAGGGGGGCGTCCCTGGCGCTGCGCCCCGTGCCGAGGGGGCGCTCGCGGCGCGTGCGCGGGGGTCGGGCGCGGACCCGTGCGCTCGCTCGCCCGCGGAGGGCTCGGCGGAGGGCGCGGCGGAGGGCGCGGCGAAGGGGATCCTCAATCCTCCCTCCTCGGTCCTACGCACCTCCCCCTCGTTCCTCGATGCTCCTCCTTTATCCTCCTCCTCCTCCTCCTTCCTACTCCTCATCCTCCTCCTCCTCCATCCCGCCCATCCTCCTCCTCCTTCCTCCCCTCATGATCCTCCTTCCTCCTCCTCCTCATCCTCCTCCTCACTACCTCCTCCCTACCGCCCTCCCTCCCTCCCTTCCCTCCCACCCTCCCTCCCTCCATCCCTCCCTCTCCTCCCTTCCCTCCTCCCTCCTTCTCCTCCCTTCTTGCCGCTCCGCGTCAATGCACTCCTGGAAGTAGAACTCTGAGGACCCCCCTGTTGCGAATCATCTTCCTCGGAACTTTCAATTCCCATTTGCAGCCTGTATGCATTAAGAGCCTCAATCCTACGTTGAAGCTCCTGTCTCGGGAGCCAGTGTAGCTCACGCCAAAGAGCACTTACATCGACACCGACAAGGGCCCAGTCCCTGGCAGCTTGACACTCAGAGCGTGTCTCACTCGGTCGATCTGCAGAACTCCCATTCATGGAACTCCCTACTGCATCAGCTGAACTCCAAACCGCGGTACTCCCAACTGCAGAAGTCCCAGCTGTTGAACTCCCAACTGCATCAACAACTGCATCAGCGGAACTCCGAACTGTGGAACTTCCTACTGCACTCCGACCTGTTGAACTCCCGACTGCACTGGAACTCCCGACTGCATCAACTGAACTCCAAACTGCGGCACTCTCCACCGCACTCCCGTTGGTCGCATGCAATTTCTGAGTCCCACAATCGGAACACTGCGAACACAAAGAGTTGCCAGCCAATTCAACAGCATCCATATCAGTCTGTGTTCCACAAGTGTGCTCAACCATTCCTCTTCCTCAGAATCGTCCGAGCAGAAATTCCGATAATATCTGGGCGCGCAAATACCCGCGCGAACAAGGCACGACGAATCTGGCCCCCGTGCCGTGGACCACAAACGATACCTGATACGTTTCGCCCGCAGGCGGCGCAATTTCGATTGAGAAACTTTGACACCATGCCCATACAGCTGGTCTCGCTCATGCAGGCGAGACTCACCTCCGTACGAAGGGCGAACACGGCAATATAGATCACTAACACACACTTCGAGCGTAGACAAACGAGCAGCAAGAAACTCGGAAGTAAACAACGCCGTATCTGTCCAATCTGAAGCAACAAAATCCGTGCCTGACAATTCATATGAAACAAACTCCATATATGAAACGTGGATTCGCTCAACAAGAAGAAGGCAAATCACAGGCAATAACAGGATGGACAGTTGAGTACGATACTTGTAGAGCTCTTGTCTCGCGGCAATCAATGAGTGTGTACTCCGACAAACAATGACTGTGTACTCCAACCGTCAATGAAGTGTGTACCCGCGGGAATCGAAATCTGGCGGGGCAAAATCTCCTGTCCGCAAGTGTGTACTCTGACAATCAATGACTATATGCTCCGACAATCAATGAATCTGCCCTCCGACAGTCAATGAGAACGTAAAAACAATGACTGTGTACTCCAACCGTCAATGAAGTGTGTACCCGCGGGAATCGAAATCTGGCGGGGCAAAATCTCCTGTCCGCAAGTGTGTACTCTGACAATCAATGACTATATGCTCCGACAATCAATGAATCTGCCCTCCGACAACCAATGAGCTCGTACGATACACAGGCCGTGTACAGTAAAGAGAACCAAACAAAGCAGCACGGCACAATGCCGCTCGAGGCGAGAGTCCCAAACGGGAGTCCCCAGCCGCCAGACCCCTGAGGAGGGAGGCAACCAGATTACCGCCGGGACCCTCGTAGAGCTCTTGAGCCAAAATGGAGGCAGAATGAATTATGACGGAATTCGGCGCTGGCCACAGTTCCGGCGCGACGAATCTATTGAAAACACACTATAAACGTGCGAAAATGCCCTGTGCAATTTTCGTGCCAAAATAAGCATAAATCTGCACACGTCCCTTGGGCAGAAAAAAATGTGTTTTACGGGGTGCGATGCGCATAACGCGATGCACGCCCGCGGCACTCCGTCATAATTGCAAGAGAAGAAACGTGCCACATCCTCCTATGAGACCTGTCAGCGGAGAGCGGAAGGAAAGCCAGCGGGAGAGCGGGGGAAGCCCAAAGAGCCAAAGCGAGCCCAGGGGCAGAAACAGCGGGGGAGAGAGAGGGGGGGCAGACCAAAACAAGCGTGCATGATCAATCACATGTGCATCATCTGTGCCGTTTCCGATGCTTCTTGCCGCTCCGCGTCAATGCACTCCTGGAAGTAGAACTCTGAGGACGCCCCTGTTGCGAATCATCCTCCTCGGAACATTCAAGTCCCATTTGAAGTTTGTATGCATTAACAGCCTCAAGCCTACGCTGAAACTCCCGTCTCGGGAGCCGTTGCAGCTCACGCCAAAGAGCACTTACATCGACACCGGCAAGGGCCCAGTCCCTGGCAGCTTGACACTCAGAGCGTGTCTCACTCGGTCGATCTGCAGAACTCCCATTCATGGAACTCCCTACTGCATCAGCTTAACTCCAAACGGCGGTACCCCCGACGTCGGCCGACTGCAGAAGTCCCAGCTGTTGAACTCCCAACTGCATCAACAACTGCATCAGCGGAACTCCGAACTGTGGAACTTCCTACTGCACTCCGACCTGTTGAACTCCCGACTGCACTGGAACTCCCAACTGCATCAGCTGAACTCCAAACTGCGGTACTCTCCGCACTCCCGTTGGTCGCATGCAATTCTGAAGTGCGCAACTTTGAACTCTCGATAGCCTCCACTCGCTTGAAACAATATCTCTTCATTCTGAGAGAAGCATCACCCCGATCAGCGCGCACTCGATGACACTCCTCCTTCTCCTCCTCACCAACAAAGAGAACACAACGATCAGTCTGAGTCCCACACGCAATGTGAACACAGGGATCTGTCTGAGTCCCACAATCGGAACAATGCGAGCACAAAGAGTTGCCAGCCAATTCAACAGCATCCATATCAGTCTGTGTTCCACAAGTTGCTTTTCTACACAGCGTAGCTGTCTGATAGTAGTCAGCAGAAGCACGATCGGCTGTAGATCGAACCCATTCCTCTTCCTCAGAATCGTCCGAGCAGAAATTCCGATAATATCTGGGCGCGCAAATACCCGCGCGAACAAGGCACGACAAATCTGGCCCCCGAGCCGTGGACCACAAACGATACCTGATACGTTTCGCCCGCAGGCGGCGCAACTTCGATTGAGAAACTTTGACAACATGCCCATACAGCTGGTCTCGCTCACGCAGGCGAGACTCGCCCACCTCGGCAGCGGCCACCGCGGGCGGCGCCTGGACCTCGTAGCCCTCCGAGTCCGCCGCCCAGCTCGGGAGCTGGGCTGGGGCCGGGAGCCGCCGTTGGTCCGCCCTGGCCGGCGCGAGGAGCAGCATGAGCGGCAGCGGGACGCTGGCGGGCGCGGGCAGCTGGGCGGCGCCGCCGGTCCAGGGCCACGCGCCGCCCATTGCGAAGGGGAGCCGGGGGGGACCTCGCTGGGCGACGCCCTCTACCCCAACATGCAGGGCTGGGGCCCTTGAGCCCTCAAGCCAACC